TGTATCAGGAGACAGTTCTACTGACGTAGTTGTTGACGGGATGTGGAACTTCATGTGCACTGCTGTGACACCTGCACAGCATCGAAGGGCGCCACTCAACGCCCCACTGCCCCCCTGCAGCAGTATCTGGTGGAGGCCCCGTGGGAGAGAGTGGGAGTGGATGTCCTAGGGCCTTTCCCCGTCACCGAGTCAGGGAACTAGTGCATGTTGGTGGCCATAGACTGCTACAGGAGGCGGAAGGAGTGGCCGCGAGTGGTTCATGACTACACCCGCCAGGCCCAGGCCAGTGCCGGGGTACGACAGAAAAGAGCCTGCAATACCAGGTGCAGAGGGGGAGCTTTCGTGCCTGGCGACAAGGTTTGGGTGTAATCCCCGTTTCGCAAGAGATGAGTGTCCCCCAGGCTGTGAAGTCACTGGCAAGGGCCGGTGGAGGTCGTGGAGCAGCTAACAGAAGTGATGTACCGATCTGCATGCCGGGCCCGGGGCACATGGTGGTGTTGCCCCAGGACAGACTCTCACCATACTGACCGCTCACTCGAGCAGCCGCCGGGGCAGGGGATGCTGGTGGCACCCCATGTTCTGATCTGAGTGACTCTTCCCCTGCTGGTCGAGATCAGCCTGCGCGCCGAAAGAAGACACATGGACATTTGCAGGACTTTTTGTTGGGTAATGGGGTTGTCGGGGACGACAGACCCCTTAGGTGGGGGCTATGTTGTGGGTCAGGGCTGTTTGGGGTTTTGTTTTGACAGCTATGTTCTGTTGTTATGTTGCCATGGTTACAGGTGACGCTCTCTCTCTCTCTCTGTGACTGTGTGTTTCTGGGTGGAGAGAGCGCCATTTTGCTTTGTTGTTGTTACGCCAGAGCTGCGCCGAGCGGTGGTGTTAGTGTTGTGTGTTCATCCGTTGAATGCAAATAAAGGGCTGTGCTCCCTGGCTAGCTCGCAGGAAGCAAGACAAAACGATACCTCTGTCTCCTGTCTCCAGTTAGCCATCTCACACACTGCTCAAACTTTTTTTAATTCAGCAAATTTTGTTTTATTGTTAATATCATATCATATTTTGATATACTTAAATAAATCAAGATGTAGGCCTGTGTTCCTGAGTCAATGAACAGCTAATTCTTTTCTGAGATTTATACATTTTATTTATAGGTGCCTTTCAGACCCTCAAGGTCACCTTACAGTAACACGTAAACAATGCCAAAAAAAAT